GCAGTTTCCTTTCTTTTAATGATCAACTACGTTATTAATTATATAAATGTTAAAGTCGTTGGGACAGTAAGTTAAAATTTTATTAAAACTCCCGTTAAAATCATGATATTTACAACCTCTAGTGTCTGACATCAGTTCGAGTAGCAGTGAACATCGGTTTGTTGAATGCTGTGTTATAGATGCTTGATCAGTCACGGCATAATTTACAGTCTCACTATTTCTAACTACAGCTTATAAGGTGTGTTACGAAGGTTATTACAATGCTAAATTATCAAATGTTTCGTTCTACGTGAAACAGGACGCAACCTCTCGCATAAGTATACAAACATTTACTTTCATTAAGTTGGACATTTCATATAAATGACATCGTTATAACATATAAACACTGTCTTCTATCTGAGACAGGCCCTTCAAAAGGTCAAAACATCGGTGATTTGTATATATCTTGGTTACCAGTGATTTTAATAATATTTTGAAGTATTATTCCTATAATACTTTTCTAAAGTAAAAGAGTAGTATGTAAAACTATGTTACGTTAATAACTGTACGCCAAAACATTGTCATAATGTAGGATTACAGAAAGGATGCGATGAGGTTAGATTAGGCTGACTACGTGTTTTCAATAGATGATATGAAGAACATGTTATGACATTAGAAGTACGCTTTTACCCCGTAAATCTCCTGTAACGCTGGAAAACAACTCTCCAGAGGTGCTTTGTTTGATCTTGTTCAACTTGATGTAAACGGCAAAGCATATACATAATATGTGGCAATGTATCTTAAAGAGACACCACTGGCTATAGGTAATCAAATAAGAGTGTGATAAAGAAAAAAAAAAAGACCATTTTTGGCGTACTACAATACAGAGCGCGTGATCAACCATGATGACTTACGTCATGACAATATGTTTTATTCGTCGATACAGTATTGTGTTTGTTATGTACTAGTTTCCGTGTAATATTAGCACTTGTTTGTAACCGTAGGAGCAGTTTTGAGTAACTTTTTTTTCATTATTATTATTTTTAAGATTCAAGTTCACTACTGTTGCTACATACACACACTCTGGAGTATAATTTGATTTTTTTATCCACATTTTGTAAAACTCCTTAGGTAGTGACATTTTCCATTAAAGATTAAGATTTGGTGACTGTAAAGTAAACTAAATTAATTCGGTTAAATATTGTTTGTTTGTTTTTTGGTAAAAGCCTAATTTCGTTAGTAATCTTGTATATTTTGCACAGGTTGTTTGTTGTCGAAGGAGATAAAAAAAAATTAGTTTGTTTTTTGAATTTCGCGGAAAGCTATCGAGAGTACGAGAGCTATCTGCGCTAACCGTCCCTAATTTAGCAGTGCTACTCTTTTACATTATAACGCCCCCACGGCTGAAAGGGCGAGCATGTTTGGTGTGACGGGGATTCGAACCCGCGCCCCTCAGATTGCGAGTCGAGCGCCCTAACCACCTGGCCATGCCGGGCCTAAGAGAGAGAGAGAGAGAGAAACATATATATAAGTGATAAGTATGTTTTATAATGTTATTGGTGGAAACTTTACGTGTTTCAAATTAAGTTCTGCAATTACATAAACACGTAAACAGTAAACATGTACTGAATAAACTAAATCTCTTAATACAAAACATTATCTAAATACAGGTGTGGAGATTAATCTCACTAATAATTTCTTTTTACGTGAGAGTACACATTATATTTGAACTGTGCGAAAGCTATATATAGAATACGTGTATGGCTTATTAGAAATATTATTCAAAGAAACCTTATATCCACGCTTCACATCAGGAGTTTAAGGTACGTTTATGATCAGTCTGAGAAACTGATGTACTTTGAAAATAGCACACAATCGGTATTTTCTTCACGTAATATTGTAGTAACAAATATGATACGTATACCAGTTGTGCATTGATGTTGTTTTTTTATTTATCTGTTTATCGACAGATCGAATGGACTAAATGAGAATGTTTACTCTAACACTGCTTCATTAAATATTGCTGTTGGAATACCATATCGTGTTACACCAATTAGAACAAAAGGAGCGTGTTAAACAAATCATATGCGAAATATTTCTTGTAATTATAGATCACAGTTTCTACAGAAAGCTTTTATGGATAATGTGATCATCTTGATTGTCTCTACTTTAAAACCCTCTTAATTGTTACTGTATCAAAAATGTGGTTTTTAAATGTACTTGCTGATTATTGCACGAGACTTCTTGCGTGGCAAATATGTCACTAGTTTAATGTCACCAGCTACAAAGTTGTCCGTTAATCAATCACCCCCTGCAGGAGATTGGTGTCTGGCACCGTATGAACAAATAGGTGGCGTAGCGTGTAGTTCGCCATAGGCATTTTATACGACGTAGATAAATCCTTCTAAAAATGACAACTGTGTGATATAGTGGAGGTCGTTTGGCTCCACTGGATCCCCCCATGGGGAGGATAGTGCCTTGATTGTCAGAAGACCAGTTATTGTCCGAAGGCTAGTTCAGATCGTACTTCTGTATTTGTCAATTTTACTGCCTTTCAGTCATTCAGATAGTTGATGACTATCTACCAAAATGAATCTCTTGAAAGAAAAAAGACAAATCAAAACTAACTTGTGTTAGACACGTGGCTGAGGACTCTCTGTTGTATTATTGACAGGTCACAGCTATTAACTGTAAATATGATACTGACAGAGAGAAGTATATCATACAATCCGTGACACAACAACTCATTACATGTCTAATTGAAGTTCTATGCAACTGACAAACTACCGTATCATAAATTGTATTAGTTTTTTTATATTTAACAAAGTCATTGAAGGGTCACTTTTTTTTCGTGGTTAAAGACGTTAATTTGGGATTTACTGAGTTACGCAGATTTAAAACTATACCTGTCGCAGCTAATCTAGCTGCATTATGATAACGGCTGATGTATTTAAAACAAACCTTAGTGGATTTAACAAGTTTAAGTTTCGAAAATAATGGAATTTTCTGGTACTATCTTCATCAACAGCTGCAGCTGAGATTTTAAAGGTCTGGTCTTGTATTTTTTAAAACTGTTTTTGAGTGCTTTGTTAGTTTGGGTGAAAAATTAAATAAGAAACATCATGCAATGGATTTCCACACTTTCCCAGATTCCTTTACAAAGGTATCTTCACAGTTTGTGATATTAATACAAGGATGAATATATATTTATAGGCTTTAGTCCTTTCTTCTACCGCCGATGGTGTTCTATGTGATGGTTCTGGTTCTGGAATATTGCTCTGCAGTATACTTTTCCACTGCAGGAGTCTTATGCTTAGTACACCGTCCTTCTCGTCTTTAAACGTTTTACGAATTCCATAATTATTGAGTGAACGACGACTTTCGAACAATTTATTGGCAAAACATCAGTGGAAGATGTCTGCACGTGAATGGAATAAGCATAAATTATTGTTTGATTTTGCATCTAGCGGAAGAATTTGGAGCTGGATGCTTTGTCTTGATGGAGCTATACCTTACTGACATTCAATACATACAACGATGGAATTTCCTCTCGGTATACAATGGTGTCAAAACGTTAGATTGACATTATATTGAGCTCACTTTAATAGTTTTCTCGACTCTCCAAATGTTAAACTTACCATTATACCTGTAACTTGCAACCGCCATAACATTCCTCGGAAAAACATTGGCATCATACAGTGGAACTGTATCACGGAAAACGCTAATAAATTGCTTATACATTTTCAGACACTTAAGGATAAGTTTCGTCCAATGTGAAAACACGCTTCTATTTGTCACATTCTAGAAAGCATTAGCATAGCTTCCGATAGTTTAGCTTACGTTCGACTGTATGTATAATTTAGGATAAGCTAGTGAGCACGGCTTTTATAGATCTAAATTCGTGTGAATTATATTGTTTATAGTTTTAAGGTAGCTTCATGTTATAACTGAAATGGATCGTTGTGTCCTAGGATAACAAGCTATTTAACTTTCTTCGCTATTTCAGGTGCGCTACTTAGAGTTTGTCTTAGAGTAGTATCTTTTCTTCACGCCTTGCCTTGATTTACTGATATTGTTCAACACTACTAAAATCCTCTTTTAACCTTCCAGAAAGGGTCAATTTTAGGGACCAACTGCATTTACAAATTAACATACTACAATTTAATTACAACAAGAGAGTTAGGGCTTCTATCCTTTGTAGTCGCAGGCCAGGAATGGCCAGGAACGAGGTGAATTGGATATAATATTGTAACGATACGTCATGAAAACTGTAAAGTCCAAAAGAAATCTTCAGTAGTTCAGATGTGTCATTTTTAAAAATTAATTTCTTCTTGAAAAACACAACAAACCGACGATAAGAACAGATTGTATTTTGACCATTGATGTTTATTGATAATTTACTATACATGCTGCAAGGATGTGGAAGTTTAGGTTTCGTAAAACAAGTATATTTACAGAATCTAAATCTAACTCAGAAACAGGGAATGGAAAATGTGGACTTTTAATAAACTTCTGCAAGAAAAGTAGCTGTTTAGTTTAGTTTTCCAATAACATTTTTTGTTGCAGATATATAACTTGACGCGTGCTCATTTGACCCATCGCCATATTTGAAATTTAAATTGCGCAATTATTGTGATCTGTTTTTATTAAGAAAAATTACATTAATTAAGTTCATCTATACTCCAGAAATATAATTAATGCATATTCAATGAATGTGAGGTTGCTCGAGAATTATGGTGGCAAATCGTTGTTGTTGTTTTTGAAAAATGTAAAATTCCAAAGGGAATTTTGTTAATTGCGTTATATTTTTTTTTCCTAAACCAGGTTATACTTCATTTCCATGAAAAGCGAGCTTTAATTATAAATATCGTAAATATATGGCCAGAAAAATCAAAAGAAACTCAGTTTTATTGAAAATAAGATGACAGATTTTGTTTTGCATAAATTTGTTAAAGAGTTTTTTTGTGATGCATCTTTACGCATTCTGATAATATTAGTTGTTGTTGTATTTGTGATTCCAGGGACATATGACAAATCAAGTGAGACCTAGCTATTACGTCGTTGTAGGAACAATGGCGTTTGTGTGCTATCTAAACTCTTTGAGTTGTGGTTTCGTTTTTGATGACATGTCAGCTGTGAGAGACAATCGGGATCTAAAGCCGGAAACACCGCTTCTTAGTCTCTTCTGGAATGATTTTTGGGGAACTCCTATTCATAAAGTACGTAATTTTTTATTACTCTAGTAATAGGTTTCTAATTTTATATTCAATTATTTCACATTCTTTAGCTTATGTTGCTGTTGTTGTTTTGTTATTCAGAAAACTGCTGTCGAATACGTTTTTCTTCATTAATATCCATTATATATATTTTTTTACTTTTGGCACAACAGGTTGTAGTTTCATGGTTCTCCCTATAGCTTCTAACTTCATATCTAATAAAGTGGATCACAGCATACACAAAAGTGCTGATACAAAATTTTGCTATAAAACATTACTATATATTTTTTTTGTATACTGGTAACGTGGTGCTTTTAAAATAGAATTTCGAATTAATCTGGCTCTATAAGTTATAAAACAACTTAAAGTTTCTACCGTTTCTCATTATTCAGTATTATTATCTAAAGTTCTAATATCTCAATTATAAGTCTAAGCATCTGTTTTGTAATGTATTTAATTAAACTTTATTGTCTGTTGTAAGAGCCTTGAAATAGTTTTGTTCATTTAACACGTACCTATAGAGTTAATATCAATATCTGTCACCAAGTACTGGGTGGAAACATTTAAACGAATAGAATGTGTTTTCGTTTAGATAACTTGTAGAAACATTTGCTCAGTCTGACGATTTATGGAGACAATATTTTCATTATCTTTAAATTCGCATAGCACATTTAAATGTATCAACACATAACAACAAACGTGAAAGCCTGTCGGAAAATTTCAAACTTTTCTCATACTAAACTCTAAAAACAATTTAAAAGATAAGTCATTCACAGTTTCTCGTATCTCTGAAAGGATGCACTTGCTCAGCTTTACCTCTCATCCTCAGTACTTCTAGAAAATATTTCGTTAGTCTCAATTTTACCAATTTTTCAAGCTTGTAAATTTCGAAATAAAAAGTGTTCACAGTCATATTGTGTGTAAGATTATATTCAACGTTTTGGGAGTCCTGGGTTTTCTGTTAGAATCCGTTTATCAATACTATTGTCATTCTATATTTGTACATTCATAATTTTCTACCTACTGCCCGTTTGAAAAATCAAAATGCCTCTATATTCTATTAATTTCGTTTATCAATTAAAGTGTTCTGTAGCGAAGTTATTACAATAAAAATTATATTCTCTGCATTGTGAAATAAATAGACATGTATTTAAAAAAATAACAACTCGAACTTAACATCATGCTATCAAAAGAGGACACATTAACTGAGGATATTTAAAGCTTTAGCAGCGGTTATATGATGTTTCTCCATGATTTGACCATAGCTTCATTCCTTGTCAAATTTTAATGTTGAAATAGAAACTTTCTTAACAGTATGAGACAAAAAATTCAAATCTGAAAATGCATGAAAACTTTTATAACCTACGTAAAGAGAAATAATTATGCTTGAACGTTTTTACCTAAGAAACTTTATCAAGATACATGAACTTAGCAAGATTATTTTCTCTTTGAAGTAGCTTTAGATGTATTTGTACTTTCAGATCTTATAACGCTGTAACTGCATTTGTTTACTATGTTTATTACTTTGAGTAATAAGTTTGAATTGTTTATTACCATCTAATAATACCCATCTAATATACGTAGTTTTCTTTGAGAACTTTTAGTAAAAAGTAATAAACCTCTGGTAATAAATATAAAAGTTTTCGAATGTAAAGGACAGTGTAACGATTTTAGAATAGTATTGTAAATGGCTGTTAAGGTTAACGTTGTAGTTGGCAATTTTTACACGGTATAATTTGTTTTCGCAATATAACAGAATTACATATTATGTAACGCTAATTCTTGGACATAATTCTTAATTGAATATAGTTTGTCCTTACACTCGGCCAGGTCTGGTTTGAGTTAACGTGTCGAAATATGAATTTGTGGGTCCAATATGTGGGTCGTTACTGCAATATGTACTATGCATTTTAGGGTTTTGGATGCGTTGTAAGAGTAGCGGTCAAATACCACTTTTCTGTTCAAGTAGCCTTAGAGTGGTCTGTGGATGCTGTTGACTAGCTGCCTTGTCTGTAGTATATAAGCTCAAAATTAGAGACGCCTAGCGCAGATATCATTTGTGGAGCTTCGAGCGAATATCAGAAATACACTTTTATACACACTCCATATGTTCGATTTGTGTTGTTTGTTAAATTTGTTGTTGCTTTTATGTAGATATTTTAAACTTTCTCCAATTAGCCTGACATTTTAAGATCCAAAACAACACTGAATATAAATTACTTGTACCAATAGCAGTTCCAAAAGTACATTAACTTGTGAGTAATCTGAGACCCTGTGGACTTGGATACACAGGCACAAAACCAAATACTCTAGAATGTAATACAAAGAAAGAAATTCGGTTAGAAAATCTATGAAAGCCCATATCAAACGTGACGCAAGAGATTTGAATTGTTAATAAAGGATTTGGGCATTGTGTACAGGAGAAAAATTTGAATAATACATAAAACATACGCCAGGTGTCATTGGGAGCCTAGTTATCAATAACTCGCAAAGAGAAGAGATTGAAATGGAGTTGGAAAACCTGAGTTTGGAAGACGTACTTCAAAGTATAGGTAATTAAAACGTAGGTAATGTATGTATAACCGATTCAAACAAAGATCCATAAAACTGGAGAAAATTTCAATAAAAAAATTGCGAAATAATGTATGAAACAAAATCTTAAAACGTAAGATTCTATATAAATGAGAAAGAAGATCGTTTCATTCTTTTATAGATTATGTTTTCAAATATATTATTTTACGTATTCTTGTATTTCATATCTTTCTCAACGTTCACTATGTTGTATAGAAAATCGTAGTGATTTAAATTTCTTTAATAGTCTTATGTTTAAATATAATATTGCGTGTACTGGGATATTTTTTGGCATGACACGAAGGACCATCCATTAAAACTTTAGATAAACTTTTCTCCAGTATAAAATTTTTCGAAGATTCAGCTGTAAACAAGTTTACTTGTAACTGAAAAGAAATAAGAAAACATTACTGAAATCCCCACATAAGATATTTTTATTTAGAATGAAAGGTTTCTCTTTCCATGTAAATTTGTTTAAAATCCGTGATGTTTAAAATGATTAAGTAAGCAGTGAATAACAGAATAACGTACACCTGAAACACATTTGTGAATCTACCTAATTTTCTCTTTTGGTACTTTCTTTGTTTATCTTTTACATTCCTTATTATTTACTTTAATATTGACTGTTATTATTTTTTCATGTTATTTATAGGGTGTTTGCTCATCTTTTCATATCATATTCCTTTTGTGTATATTTCATTTTTTACAGTTGTTCTTTTAATTAATTTATTTATAAACTCACGTGATTGAACAATGTTATGACACCAATAGTATTTAAAAGTGTTTTTTAATTACAGACGTTTCGAACCGCCTTGTTTTAGACTTGATTGCTTTATAGCATTGCTTTGCTTTATAGACCAAGAGACAACTATTAAAATATAATAATAATAAAAGTCAACTATGTAGACCTGTTGCGTGGAATGTTTATTCAAGAGTATATTATAGCTGTTTTTTAGTCAAATGCTAAATATCAGTAGTATTTTCATTTGTACTTTTGCTCATCTTGGCTTGCCTATCCTTATTACATTCTACCTACCTCTAAGTGTCTTTTCTCATATTTGTAAGAGCCATATTAGGTTTAATTAAGCAAGAACTCGGATAGCTCTCCTTTGATATATTTTGTCATACTACACATTAATCTGTTATTGCACACGCGTACAGGAACACATCTTCACTTTGAAAAGAGCAAACATAAATGTATTTTTATCTGTGTCGGAGTTTATTTTGGGTAACTTAAACAATAATTTAACTTGGTTCGATCTGAATGAGAATTTATCTTGGCTAATTTGTGCAGCAATTTGTTTTTATACTTCAGAACGAAGATATAATTTGGTTCATCAGTGCATGAATTTGTCTTATCAGTGCAGTTGTGCGTCTTGCTCAGTTATGCAAGAACTTATCTTCGCTCCTCAGTGCAGGAGTGTGTGTGTGTGTGTGTGTTATGTTATACGTGCAGGAGACTCTCTTGGCTTAAATGATCAAAAGGTTATCTTGTCTTACGTATCTCAAAGAGTAAGCTAGCACTCTATAAGAAGGAATGCAATGAATAAAGTGGCCGCCACTATTGCAGTGAAACATAAACTCAGCTGAAGTCTCTACTCTAATAATCACGATAAGGCTGATATGAATAGTACTACCTTCTTCCCATAAGACTGCTAAAGTTGACTAGACAAAATAAATGTAGGGGCTGCACTCTAAATTTTGTGGCCATACATACTGTAATAATTAGGAAGTTAACCACCTTCAACAGTAAGCATTGTTCATAAAGAAATTAAGAATTCCATTTATTGTGGATAACAAAATACTTTGACCCATGACCTTTCAACTTCGGCCCATAAGACACTTCTACAGGCAATGACCGTCTATTAATTAATCACGTGAAACACTGTGGAAGGACATTAAGAGCTGCTGAGTGTTAAAAGCGGGTAACAGAAACCACCCTTACCCCACTACATTTTCCGCTACCTGTTCCTGACCATCCACAGTGTATACCATATTTTAAGTATATACATATTGACTTCTTAAAGCTTATACAAAACGTTTGGTGAGGTAATAATGAATGCTGTAATAATATGTTATGTGTGAAAGTTAGGATTTTTGTGTTATTTATCTTAGCTTCCATCCCACATTCTGGGCAGAGGACGGGTACCTCGGTTTGTTACCTATAAAACACAAAAACACCAATCGCATGCTATTAAAATCCACATAGCGCCAGTCCAAGTAACATAAGCTACTTGTACGTTTTTATGTATTTGTAATAATGCAAGTTCAACAACATAAGCTGGTGAATGTTGCCAAGAAAAAAGAATTCATAAACAAAATCACTAGCCGCCTATTGAGAATGCTATACACACTTATTACTATATGAGCAAACTGATTCTAAATTTATTCTCACTTAACTTACTTGGTTAAACTTTTTTGTAATATACCTA